CCTCTCACATGGAGGGGGGCCCACGATTATTTTATTATGTGTGGGCCCCCCTCCATGTGAGAAGGGTGTAAAACATTGTGTAAATATTTGCAAACTGCTACTTATTTACCATAGCATCAAACATCCTCGATCTTTTGAAAATATAGCAAAATTCGCCCTTTTATCCTTTTCGACAGTTAAAACTACATAAAATGATGAATTTGCATCTCTCTAAAATAATTCAAAAAACAACTAAATAAATACATCTCTACCTCGAAAGCTTGGTTTCATACAACCTCCACATGGCCCATTTTAATGGTTTTGATGATGTCACATGTCAAGCATTCAATGAACATCTCATTTCATCTTCTCTTTTGATATAAAAGCTCACACGAAATACAATTCAAACGCAACGTAACTATGAGCACCAAACTCATCATTACAATATTCTGAATTCTATATTTGAATTCGACACTTGTATTCTAGTCCATTATGTCTCTCAAATGCCTAAATATATATTATTCATCATTTGGCATGAATGTTGGAGTGTCCTCGATCATCGCATCCTGTCAGAGCCACTATCATGAGTGGTCTAATGTGATTGTCGAAGTGTGCAGTTAACCCGACTCACATTTACTTGATTAATAAAGGAAGTCACACTCGTACGCTTAGAGCATCTCAAATATTATTATGGATTGCCTAAAAAGCACCGGGTATAAAAAATGTAGACAACGTTTACAAAAATTCTCTCAAATGTAAGTAGAATATGTGTGATGTTTTAGCATGCCACACTAGTGGTCCACATACACGAGCAAAAGACTGTAAGATAGTTTCAACTTTTTATGGATTAGTCGACCTCTAATATTGTCCAATTTTGTTCAATATTAAGCCCCCGTTTGTTCAACATTTTTTTTTCCATTTGTATAAATATTATGACCGTTGCACAGTAAAGCAGCTGACATTTTTGACCCCCTTTGTGTGATAATGGGGCCCAACTGTTTGAGAAAAAACGATCAAAATTTCTAAGAACGAGAAAAAAATATAGAACAAACAGGGGCTAAGTCTCTGTTTGACAATCATTATTTGAAAAGTTTTTTTTTTTAGATAATTATTTTCAATCACATATTCATACAATAAAATATTCAGTACGTAAATACAAAACTTATTCATACTTTTTAATCACATATTTTTCTAAAAATTACTATTTAAAATATTGTTTTTCTCGAATAATGATCGTTAAACATGCCTAAAAGTGTGCCTTTAAGCGGGACCTTTTCGTTGTCGTATTACTTGAAGTGCATACGATTTCGTGAGTCGCTGTCCCAATTGGAATCGGATTTTCAGCCTTTGCTTCACCCCTTGCTCGTGCCTCGTATGCACCGACACCTTAAATTTGCTATTTTTAGCACCACAGGAATTAAAAAAGTGAGACAGGCGGGATCCACGCGGTCTAATGCATTTTTGGCTAGATCTAGATCTGAAATTATTATACATATGACTAACAACATTTTTTTCTTTTTTCTTTTTTTAAAAAGAGAGTAATTTCATCTTTCCAAATAGAGTGGTAAACTCTATTTATAGTCACTTAAAATTTTAATTGCTTTGCTAAATTTTATTTTTCTTAATTGAATCACTTTAATTTAATTTTAAATCTCACCACTTTATTACTTTTTCTCACCTATTGTCTCATCGACTAACAATTTTAATTGATTTGCTAAATTTTATTTTTCTTAATTGAATCACTTCAATTTAATTTTAAATCTCACCACTTTATTACATTCTTTCACCTATTGTCTCATCGACTAACAAAAATTCCTCGATTACATTCATATCGTAATTGGACTTTTCATGTAATTGCTACATGACATCCTAAGAGCAGAAATTCTAAAATGAAGACTGCGACAACGTTTTTAAATTAAAATATTAAAACACGTATTTTTAATAATTTTTTGCATAGTGTAAGTTAGGATGTCTGGCAAGTAAGTGGAAAATCTTTTGTCATATGATTGTATTTAAGCAATCTTCACCTATTTGAGAGAGAAAATGACAAAGTGATAAATTTTTAAACGAAGTTAAAGTTCAGTGACTTAATTAAAAATTGCATTGAAATTTCAATGACCATAGATGTAATTCACCCTACATCATGGCCAATTTTCTTGAAATGACATTTGCTAAGCGCACACTCCATTTTTTTTTTTCTAAATAATGTTGATGCGCACATAGGTTCTGTTCGAGTTCCATTAAAATGAGATTTCTAGGAAAACGTATTTTGGAGAATATCCTATTGGAAAATTGATATATTTATTTTTTTGATTTACTTGTAATATTATTTTATGAAAAACATGCGGTTAAAAATGAGTTTTGAAATATATAGTCCAAAGGGACTAAAATTCAAATTAACGACCTTATCATAATAATTCAATCAAGGGAAAACAACATATTTGGTCTCCAATCTTCAAAATTGTACAAAATGTACCCCAACATTTAAAATGATACTAGGCATCCCAACATTTAGAAAATAGGCACGGTAAGTCCCTCATGACAAAACCTATCTATTTCAACCGTTACATTTGCATAAAAAGACAAAATTGTCATCCCTTCAGGTTCAGGTAAATAAAATAAGTCCGAACAAAAAAAGAAAAAAGAGGAAAAACCCAAATGTATCCGTGAAAATGAAGAATACCAAACAACCTTTTTCTTCACTTACCCCAACCACCAAAAGTAACCATCACCTATTATATCGATCGTATTCTTCCAACCCAACCCCCTTCACCTTTTCTGAATCCACCACCACCACCACGACGTTGCTTTTGCTACTACCCTTGCCCCTTTTTTGGCCAGAAAAAAAAGGACTTTGTCTTCTAAAATTACGTCAAATGTGACATTAACAAAGGGATGGAAGAACGATGCCATTCACATTCTGCAAAAAAAGGAAAATAAAAATACAGAGTAGAAAAACTCAAATAGTCAAATTCTACCCAAAAAAGGAAAAAAGGTCTGTTGCCATTTTTTCAGAATTCTCCCCCTTTATTCCACCAATCTACTCTCTCTGTCTTCAGGTACCTATCATGTTTATTTCCTGAAATGTTGGGACGTCTGGTGCCATTTTAACGGTTAGGAGTATATCCCATACATTTTTGAAAGGTTAGGGGACCAAATATGCTATTTTCCCTTCAATTAACTATGCCTCTCTCATTTTTTAAGCACATTGCTAGACTCAAAATTTTAGCTTGTCTTGACCCAAAACTAATGTTAATTATTTGTAAGAGAACGAACATTGCCCTTTGAAGTAGATATTATTGCGTTGTTCGTTCACTTAGCACATGTTTCGAGTGCGTGATTTTATGTGCTTGAGAGTTGAGAGATTCACTTAGATTGTATTTGATTGACATGAAAAATATATCCTAAAAAAGAAAATATTTTCCTTGTTTTGAGGAAAACAAAAACATATTCCAAAAACAAAAAAATATTTTCCTAAAAAACAAGGAAAATTAGCCACATTCTCATTTTCATTCTTATTTTTCTGCTCATTTTTAATCGTACATTTTTCAATAAAATAATATTTTCTATTATATTAATAAATTTTCTTTCTTTTTTAACCACATATTCCGCTATCCTAAAAAATATGCATCAAACACACTCATATTTTTAAAAATCGAAAAATATCTTTTATAAAAAAAATAACAATCAAACTCTTCAAAATAAAAATTTGAGTGAAAAATTAAAATTTTTCATAAAAAATAAATGCAATTAAACACCTTCATATTTCTTTCTCTTCCGGGTAATAATTGCCTTCTTACCAAATCCTAGATCCATGAAACCCTCTAAATCTGAACCGTCTATTTATACCCTCCTTCTACCTCTGATTTCTCTGCCACACACTACCAAAATATCCCAAATCTCAGATCCAATTACACCAAATGGCTCTTCTAGTGGAGAAAACCACCTCCGGCCGCGAGTACAAGGTCAAGGACATGTCCCAGGCTGACTTCGGCCGCCTCGAAATCGAGCTGGCCGAAGTCGAAATGCCCGGCTTAATGTCCTGCCGTACTGAATTCGGCCCCTCCCAGCCCTTCAAAGGCGCCAGAATCACTGGCAGCCTTCACATGACCATCCAAACCGCCGTATTGATCGAGACCTTGACTGCTTTGGGCGCTGAGGTGAGATGGTGCTCATGCAACATCTTTTCCACCCAGGACCACGCCGCGGCTGCCATTGCTCGGGATAGCGCGGCGGTGTTCGCCTGGAAGGGTGAAACACTCCAGGAGTACTGGTGGTGTACTGAACGGGCTCTCGACTGGGGACCTGGTGGCGGACCCGATTTGATTGTGGATGATGGTGGGGATGCTACTCTCCTCATTCACGAAGGCGTCAAGGCCGAGGAGGAGTTCGAGAAATCTGGAAAGGTTCCCGATCCGAGTTCAACTGACAATGCGGAGTTTCAGATTGTGTTGACAATCATTAGAGATGGATTGAAGACGGATCCGAAGAAGTATGCCAGAATGAAGGAGAGACTTGTTGGTGTGTCTGAGGAGACCACCACTGGTGTGAAGAGGCTGTACCAAATGCAGGCTAATGGAACACTGTTGTTCCCTGCTATCAATGTCAATGACTCTGTCACCAAGAGCAAGGTACAGGATCTAAATTTTATATCTGCAAGTTACATTTGTGTGAGATGTCACCTTTAGTTTTGCCTGATTACATTTGAATTAAACGAAATCGAAAAAGATCTTGCTTAATTTTTCTATTGTACATAGTTAAAAATTTTAGATCAGATCTGCGCTTGTATTACATAAATGTGAGCAATATTAAGAATAAAAATTGGAATTGCTTATTTTTCAGACAGATTGTTGTTTATTTCTTAGTCAGAAAGAAACTTAAAAAATATGAATTTGCTGTATCTTGGCTTTCTTGAATCAATTAAGCTCCTGATGTTGATTCAGAAACAAATAGAAAGCTCACATCTCACCTTGTTTGACAGCCTACTGTGGCTTATATCTGTGTAATATCTTCTACTAGAAGAATTTGGGTCTTATATATCGGATTAAATTCAACTCATAAGATATGGAAAGTTACTAGTTGATCCTGCTCAGTACTTTTGTGTTGTGTTTGAAGAATAATACAATGCTGTATAGCTCACCTGGTTTTATTGTCTCGAATTACGATATTATCTTTATTCACCATACACTGACAGCTCTGTTTGATTGTGCTTCGACCAGTTTGATAACTTGTATGGATGCCGCCACTCACTCCCTGATGGGCTAATGAGAGCCACTGATGTGATGATTGCTGGAAAGGTTGCTGTTGTATGTGGTTATGGTGATGTTGGCAAGGGCTGTGCTGCTGCCTTGAAGCAAGCTGGTGCTCGTGTGATCGTGACTGAGATTGATCCAATCTGTGCTCTTCAGGCCCTCATGGAAGGACTCCAAGTTCTAACCCTCGAGGACGTAGTCTCTGAAGCTGATATCTTTGTCACCACCACCGGTAACAAGGACATCATCATGATTGATCACATGAGAAAGATGAAGAACAATGCCATCGTTTGCAACATTGGTCACTTTGACAATGAAATCGACATGCAGGGTCTTGAGACCTATCCTGGGGTTAAGAGAATCACCATCAAGCCTCAAACAGACAGATGGGTTTTCCCAGAAACAAAAACAGGCATCATTGTCTTGGCCGAGGGTCGTCTAATGAACTTGGGTTGTGCCACAGGACACCCTAGCTTTGTCATGTCATGCTCTTTCACTAATCAAGTTATTGCCCAACTTGAGCTGTGGAAGGAAAAGAGCACCGGGAAGTACAAGAAGGAGGTTTATGTCTTGCCCAAGCACCTTGACGAGAAGGTTGCCGCACTTCACCTTGGAAAACTTGGTGCTAAGCTCACTAAGCTTTCCAAGGATCAGGCTGACTACATTAGCGTACCAGTTGAGGGTCCTTACAAACCTCCTAATTACAGGTACTGAGGAAGGCAGAAAGTGAATTGGTTATAAACCAACCATTACTTGAAGAATGTGGTGATTGTTTTTCATTATTATATTATTTCTTGTAGCTGTGAGTTTTTTGTTTTTGGTGGAAGAAGTGGTCTCTTTTGAAGACTAGGATATGTCGGAAATAAGTTTTCCACTGTGAGACGACAATGTAGTCGTTGTATTCAGTTTTCAGTTGTTTTGCAAGAAATGAAAATGCATATGTTTGCCTCCTTTCAGTAGTAATTTATGCATCTTTTACTTATAACGCAACTTTATTGAGATTTCCAATCCAAACAATATTAAATCATTAATTACCAAACTTCTTTGTTATTTTTCCAAAAAAGGTAAAAAAAAAAAATTAAAATGAATCTTGCACGAAAGTAGACTAGACCATACGATATTTTCAATTTTTAACTAATTGTGTCTTAAAATCGAGAACTGGACAATTATGATAATTCTTGGTTCCAACTAAAAGATGAGATTAGAAATAGACAGTCCCGTTCTCCTGCCCGCGAGCGGGCAGGAGAACATTTTCGTAGAAATAGATTCATTGTTGGTTCATTTGGGTTCTCTTCAACTGTAACCAAGCATACAGTGGACACTCCATCTCGGATTCTTGGATCTGGGCTCGGAAATTTCGTTGAACGGACACCAATTCAGGCCTTATTCATATACATATTAGACCCCGTTTGACTTTCATTATTTAAAATTTTAATGATTGAAATATTATTTTTTGAAAAATGTGTGATTAAAAAATATATAATTTTATTTAAAATTTACGTATAATATTATTTTATTAAAAAATGTATGATTGATAAGAAGAGATAGGAAGATGAATTATAATTTTAATGGAGGTCGCCAAACAGGGACTAGGATTTTGCCACTTAGTCAGAAGAAATTTAAGCGATACAGTGATATAATTCGAGATGGTAGCGGATGATTTGACGAACCATATCCAATAACTAAATACCAAGATTCAACTATCTCTAATTTTCAATCCTTTCCCTTTATCCACACACTTATTCCAATTTGCGTGTCAATATAAAGAGACCTCCATTCCACTCCCGATCATTTTTACCCAAACCTGCACAATCACTAAATTGAAAGCGAAACAGCTAAGATATACCTCGATTCACATCACTATATTACACGTATGTATACTGGGAGAAGAATAGTTTGAGGATTTGATTGTTTTTGTTTGTGAAGTAATTGTTGTTACTGTTAAAAAAAAATGTTTCTCCCAAAAATGCTATTGATCTCGTCGCGGCCAAACTTTACAGAATTTAAAGACGAATTGAATTTAATAATTCAGTTTAACTTAACTGTGTTCGAGTAAGATTGCTCGTATAATTTGGAGATTCGATTCCTGTCAAAGCATTTGCGTTCTTTCGGTCATTTGTTTTGATGAAAAGCGTTAAATATTCGGTTTACATTCCGTCAGAAAACCACTTTTTCTAATTGAATCGGATATTCCTTTCCTTTTGGCTTTTTTTTTTTTTGGGAATTTAGGGGTTTTTGTTACTGAGAGATTGGTATACTTACGGTGGAGGTTTTCCAGGGTTCTCGAGGCTGATCAGACTTCCGAGGCGGGAATTTTCCAACAGAAACAGGATTGATCGCCAATTTCTGGAACTTGAAGGATCCATTTGGAATTTCCGAGCTTTCAGGGGCCTTTCCAGACTGAACTGCGCTCTGCAGATTACAGAATTAGTGGGAGATGGATTTGATCCTCCGAGGAATTGAGCTCACGAATCACCTAGCAATCCGAGCACAGTTATTGGTGTAAAGTAGCTGTTTTAAGGGCATGGAAGAGGACTGTTCGTTTGAATAAAATTTAGAAGCCGGTGGAGAAAGGACATTTTGGGAATTAAGGTGACAATAAGTTGTGAGTTTCTATATTTTCACTGTTTGTTTGGGTTGGAATGACTTGTGCCATAAATTTTGGCCATATGGCAGAGGAGGTGAAAGTGATGACTATCAAGTATCATCGGCACCATAGACCAGACACAAGAGCATCTATCAAAGAACTCTTTTCCTTTCTCCAAAACCTTTTGGATTAACTTATTTCTCGAAGCTTGGCTTCATCAGCTCTGAATTCCACAAATCTGTGTCAGGATCTAATCCAGTGTTCATTTAATTTCTACAAAAATTGCATCTTGAATTGGGGTTGAGTTTGACAAGTTTTTTTTTAATCCGCTCTTGTATTTTGAAGCCAAGATTGTGGTGTACTTGGCTTGAGGTTGGAATTAAAGTTCGGTTTTGGTGTGCGTTCAGAAGTGAGGAGCTGAGTTTTGGCTCCTGGGCTAGTGGACAGGAGTTTACTCGGTGTAGTGAAGCTGCAAATTCAATGCAGCGTCATGGTGCATGGACAGAAATATAGTTGTTCATCGGTTCAGATACTGGATCACACCTACCGTGTGGAAACAATCCAAGCATTCTGTTTTAGTGACTGTTATCATTTTGCTTGTACTGGGATAGTGTGCAATGTCTCGCTGCTTTCCATTTCCCCCACCTGGATATGAAGGAGAGCATAGGCCTGAAGACTTGGATGCATGGAAAGAGGTCTGTTTATTTTTTTCCTCTCTGCTGTTATAGTGTCCGTCACTCTTTAAATTTCACGTTTGCCATTTCCTTTCCTGGAGATGGTGGATGTAACCAATAGATGGAATTCTGTGGTTTTAGTTCTGCTGTGCCAGCATTTAAGTTGGGCCCATTTGACTTTACCATCTTCACATCGTAGTTCCCCAAGTCTATAGATAGTATAGCTTATTCTCCTTCAATTTTTAGTACGTTCAGCAGTCCAATAGGCAACATTTCATTCTATTTTTCGATGGTTTGATTAAAATGAAAGCACCAGCCAGTTGTTTAGCATTGTGAATTAAATTTGTTGGAATGACACTACCAGTTCACCAAATTTAGTCTTCTTGCTTAGTTACTTAAAACAATATGTCAAAGAATGTACTTCAGTATTTTTAATTGATAACACGTGATATATCTCCCTGAGTTGGAATTTATGAACCTTCAGTTTCTTGTATGTTTGCTTAAATAGCTAGGTACATAATATATTTTCTATTCCCATACGATTGCAGTTAAATTCACATATGTTTTTCAGCTACCTGCTTTATGGAATGAGGGGAAGGATACCATGAGAGTAAATCATTGAATTTCTATTTGCTGAATGTCTCTGGTATTGTATGTTAAATTTTAGTGTGTTTTCGTGACTCACAGTGCGTAAGTCCTACCTTAATGCAGGCCTGAATGTCGATCTGATAGAGAACTGTTCTAAAGCGGTCAGTGGTGATATCATTTATATATACATACAAGTTTTTGATGGGTTGGGTGTGTATGAAAGGAGGAACACTAAGTTGGGTTCAGAAGGGTTCTGGACATGTATGTTTTCCTAGAATTAAGATAGAACAAGTAAATCAAGGGTTGAAACGACTGTTACTGGTGATGTGAACCACTAAACAAAGAACAGTTGCGATAATGGTTCTTAGAGCAATCCGTTTCTTGTCAGACCACGAGCATAGAGAGCACTTGATGGACTAAGTGAATAAGTAGTAAAATAGCATGATCAAGTATAGCATGGAGCATCAAAGAAACAAGTGATGCAAATTTAAGGAAATACTTAAAAAGATATAGAAAAAAAAAGTGTAGAATCTCTATTGCACCTGACACTGCAGGGAAACTCCTAAAACGTGGACTCCTCTTTAGACCTTTAGGGCCAATATGAATAATCCGAAAAACTCATGTCCAAACAACACCAAGGAAAATAAAGGAAGCCGTATTTCCAACATTTGCTGCCAAAGAACTGACGTAGTGTACTTAAATCTAGTGTAGTATAGATATTGGAACTTGAAAAGTAATCATGTGAATTCCCAGTTTGATTTATCATTGCTCTCAAATTTCTGAACTAAATGGATTAGGTGCCAATTCTAAAACATTTGAGTGATTCAAAAAGTAGTAGAGGTCCCTTTGAAAGATTGAAAGATCAATCATTGCACTAGAAGTTTATGCAGAACCTTTATGCTGTTTCTGTGATGGCTACATGGAGTAGTCTGCCATTTACATTTCTTGGTAGAGGCATCCTCTAGCACCATGATTCAGCATGAAGGTTGTGTGTGTGTAAATATAATTCTACTTATGTACAATCTATATGGAAGGAGGAGTCTTTACTGTGACTGTTCGAACACAAACACTTAATCAATCGATATCCAACACATTTATCAACCGAATTTTCCTCCGTAGCTCAACGCACAATTCACCACCTAGGTTAGGGAGATTGACAACTGACACCGTACTAGAATTTTAGCATTTCAATGATCAAACTGTTATAAGAAATTTACTTTTCTAATCATTGATTGTCCTGGAGTGTGTTTCTGACGTTATCCAACTCTTGCCTCAACAATTTCTTCTACTACTCATCACTGATCTATCTACACACTCTTTACTCTGCTCCTTTCCCGCATGACAAGAAGAGCCTACAAACTTGGCTATGGGACTATTGGAAACAATACATTTGATGCCACTGTATGCTTCCACTAATTGTGTATTCTTTGGGATTGAATTTCTAATAAAATTCCACTCTGACGAACGAGTTAATTATTGAAATGGGTCACTATAAAGTGAGCGTGATGACGAGCTTAAGTTGGTAAGAACCTTAAGCATTTACACGAGTGCAACAATCAGAAAGCTTGTGATATGAAATAAAAACATGTCATTACAAATAAACCATGTGTTGTATTCTCAAAAGAGCAACACATCGTCCATCTGTTCAATTTGGAATTAATATAGATGTTTTTTCACTGGGCCTGGATATTCTTCTCATAATTATAAGAGTGATCATTCAAAACTATGTAGCATATGGGAAATTGGGGATGGACCCATAACATTGTGAATGACCTATATGTACATTTTTAGTTGAAAACTGCAGAAAGGATGGAATAAGTCATATATAAAGTGCCTGTTTGATTTTGGTAGAAAAATGGTGTTTTGAATAGTGATTTTTAGGAGAATGTATGGTTAAAAAGTAGGGAAAAGTTTTTAGAACACGTGTAGAATATTTTATTGTGTGAATGTGTGGTTGAAAATTGTCCTATAGCAAATCATAAAATAAATTAAAGAGTGTCAAACTGACACAAAGTCTGATAAAACATCTAGCAGAGATCATACCATAATTTGTGTATGTATTTCGCTTACTGCAACTTTGGCTTATTTTCTAGGTAGCATTTATCCAGTGCTATGGACTTTCTCTGTTTTCTTTTTGTTGGTCAATTTTGACTAGTATTTCAAGATCAGTAATCACATTTAGATACCCACCTCCAAATTATTTGGAGGATTAGGCATACTGTCTGTTCAGGTTTAAGCCAGTCCATGTAATGGGTCAAAAAAATAATTTATTTTTTTTTCTTGATCTGCTCTTCAAGACCATCATTAAACAGGGATATTTTCTTTAATTGAAATCTTATAGAAATTAGTTCGTGGGGAAAACTGTTCCTAGTTTAAGCCAGTCCGTGTAATGGGTCAAAAAATTAATTTTTCTTTTCTTCTTGATCTGCTCTTCAAGACAATCATTAAACAGGGATATTTTGTTTAATTGAATTCTTATAGAAATTAATGCGTGGGGAAAACTGTTCCTCCTCCTTTCTGCTTTATGACACAAGGCAAGATATGAGTTCCAAAAATACAAAAGATAACTCAGATTACAGGAAAAAATTATCAAGAGCATGACCTTTACTTAATCCCCTTTCAAGACTTCCTGAATAGAAAATTAGATCAGCTCAATGAAATGTGCTGAAAATGATTTTCACAGAATTAATTTGACAAAGCCACGAAACATATGTTTCTCTGCATATATCAGATTAAAAGGAATCCATTTCTACTTAAGAATTCTATTTCTTGCATTCGAGCTTCCTAAGGGGGCATTGCTGTTGAAAGATTCTCTTCTATTACAGCATTTAGCAATGAGTTGCATCCTTTGATGCATATTTAGAAGTTATTCTATGGTTGCCACGGATCATTTGTTTGAGACATTTGTCGCTTCAGTCATACTCTCCAGCTTACTACCAGCCATAATGAAATTAAGGAAGAAAGAACTAACATAATTAAATTTTATAAAAATAAATAAGATGTAAGTTTGGAAACCATTTGGAAACAGGAGTGACATTGAAAGCAAAAGTAACTCTAAACGACAAACTAACACCAAACTAAGCCCAATTTCCAATATATTGTGGTTGGCTAAAACAAAAGTAACTCTATAGGGACAAAAGGAACTTCTAAGATATGAGTGTTATTTGAATGGTAACTTGTGTAAGGTGCCATGACCATTTATTGCTATCTCTTTTGCATGAAACAGCAGTTCATTTGATATTGCCTGTGTGTTTGGAAGCTTGTTGATATATTTTCCTGCTTGCTTGTGGAGGAAGAGGCGATCCTCTTTCCATTATGGAATTGAAACTGATTTGTGTTGATTTAGCATTTCATTCAGTCCAAAGATAAGAAAATGCATTCCTGAGAAGTTAACTCATAAATGAGATGCCCTCATGCAGCTAAGCTAACTATAGTTTTTGTATTAATCAACTTGAGTATATAGTCACATTTGTCTGTACACACCTGTATTGGTTTCTAGTTTTCTGCCTTTTTCTATTATTCTTGCATTAATATGAATACTTCAGCGTACACATGCTGAGAGGGAAATGGGAGTTGAGATCTGCTGTCCAATTTTTACTGTCTACCTAATTAATTATTGACACGTCATTTTAAATTAACGTGTTATCAATTTGGTGGGTTAATGGTGAAATTAATGAGGGTAAATTTGAGATGACATGTTAATTTAAAAATGATGTGTCAATAATTAATTGGGTGGACAGTAAATTGAAAAGCATATCTCAACTCGGGAAATGGTATTGATACGTTGTATAAACATAAAGGTGAGGAAGATAGGGAGAAAGAGAGAAAAATAAGAATTCTTGACTGATATGATTTCATATACTGATGCATCTTTTCTTCATTGTCTCTTGAATCTTCCAAGTAGTTTGCAATCATGTTTGCTTGGAAATTTATTTGCTTGGTTATTTATGGTGTATCCATTAGATTTTTATTGATGCACTCAGTTCTCAATTTAATTGAAATTCCTATACAAGATTACTTTTCTTCATGGGAATTCATCTTAACTATGATTTATACTATTTCGTCTTTTAAAGTCGTGCTACTTCTATTTCAATCAGTAAATTGTAATTTATAGTTTGAGGAGAATGTGCTGATAATTCTCGTGGTCTTAGGAAAATCATAAAGAGAAGAAGCACAAAAAGGAGAAGAAGGACAAGGAAAGAAGAGAAGGCAAAGAGAAAAGGGCAAAAGAAAGAAGTGATGAAAAACTCAGGGAAAAGAAAGATCGAAAAGAAAAACACAAGGACAAGAAGGGAAAACACAAGGACAAGAAGAAGGAGAAGGACAGGGAAAAAGACAAAGAGAAGAACAGCATCTCTGATGAGTCAAATGTTGCTGGGAAGCTTGAGGAAAGTAGTGAGGAGATGCTTCATTCAAAAGGACACAGCAAAATTAAAAGCGTTTTCACAGATGAGGCGAAACATGCTACACATATTGTGGATCAAAATGGAGGGAAGCTTATTCAAAATAGCCTTCTTCAGGGAACCGAGGAATCAAAATTTGTGCAGGAGCTGGACAGGAGAATCAGAGATGATGAGAAGGGTGCAGAGAGCCAGTTGCTTAACAGAATATCAGGTTTGGGCAAAAGGGATCAAGAGGCTTCTGCAAAAGCTGGTACCAGGAGCTCTTCAGGAGTATTGGCGGAGGACAAGGGAAAGAACAAGGATCAGAGAGTTGACGTTAGAAAAATTGACGCGCAGAGTTTCAGGGAAGAGTTTAGTGCAAACGCTATGGTCCAGAACAATGCTGGAACTGTCAAAAGTGAAGTTGAAGTAATGCCCAAACCAATTGAGGAACACGATAGCAGGTTGGAAGGTAGAGAGCTATCAAAGGAAAAAAGAAACAACAATCAGGGAGACAAACACAAGGGAAAAGATAGAGATAAAAAAGTCTATGGCAAGGACAAAGACAAGAAAAAGGAGAAGAAAGGGGAGACGAGGGCGAAGGGAATATTTGAAAATAAGAAAAGAGAGCAGGATAAATCCAATTATGTAGGCAGGAACGATCTTGTGGGTGTTACTAGCAATGCTAGTACACGTCTATTGACGGACATTAACAGAAATTCTGTCAAGGAGGGAAATATCAGGAAAATAAAAGATGTGAGTACCAATGGTTTTCTTCATGGTAAGTCCTCTCGTACAATGGAACGTGATAATAAAATTCCAACTATTTCAAAAGTTTGTGTTTTAGTTTCTGTCGTGGCTAAGAGAATCATGAAAGCTTATAAGGCACTTCCTGACATTTTTATGCATCTTTAGGATGCTTGCATCAGGTCTCTTTGTGATTTTATCGGACTTTCTGTTAGAATTTGATATCATGGTGAATTTTCATAAGCTTGTTCAACTGCAGTTAACCTTCTCTATAGGCTGATTAGTGTTGCTCATTTTACAGTGAGCGAAGTCAGGCCAAATAAATTGCAGAGGATCACTCACCAGTTGACAGAGAATGGAAGAGAAATTGAAGCTTGCCAAAATCCCAATGTGTGCGCTTCCTATAAACAGTTGTCTCCTTATGATGTTTGCTTGGATAATGAGGACTGGAGGGTGACTGGTACTCTCGAAGCCGGGAAACTGTGTACATCTAAACCTAAGCCTTCAACTGCTACTACGACTATTAATCAATTTGCTGAAACATCAAAAAAATCTGTCCATCTAGATTCCAAGTTTTCGAATGAAGCCCTCGGGATACCCAAGATGGAGAATCTAATTGCTGAAGCTTCAAGGAGGCCTCCCCATCCAGATTCCAAGTATCTGAGTGAGATTCTCACAGTACCCAAGATGGAGGAGTTGCAAACTGATGAACAGGAGTGGTTGTTTTACAAGAAAGATCCTCCATCAAATAAGCCCAAGGTGGGGTTTTGGGGGGTCAGGGAAGACTTGAGTGTGTGGTCTGAAGCTATGTATATAGAACCCGCTGATGTTTATGCTCTGCCATATGTCATCCCTTATTGATTGTTGTTGTTAATTTAGTACGCAGTGAACCCAACAAGCATCGTTGATTATGCCATGGCACCAGGCTGCTGAGATGGATTGGTGTACTTACAGGATTATTGACTTATTGCACCCTCCCATTGCTCTGGTAGCAGACACAATTCTTTGCCCTGGTTCTGAATTTTTTCAGTCAATCAGAATCCATTGCATGATTGTTCCTTTGTGATAGCGTGGCTCGTCTTCCAAGGTCCATGATATCGTCCTATTTGATTTATATCGGAAACTTCAACAAGGTCCTATACGAAAGTGAGAAGTAAATGCCTGCAATTTATTTCATTGCTTTGAGGTGGTACACTTTCCTTTCTAATTAGTGTACAAGTAGCTTTCAGAGAACTATTTATATGAAATGTAAGATAGAAGGGAAAGAAAGGGGTAGTTCAATTCATTTTATTAACTTCTGATGTAATCCTTGTTTATAATCCCAGTTTCCAGTTTCCCTGACATTGTTTTATCGGCATGGATAGTTGTTGCTGGTTACATATATGTGGTTAAAATGAAGCTTAAAACTTACTCCCTATACTTTTATATACGACTATAGCATGTTCACTCAGGAGGTTTGGATAGCATCAATTTGGTTGGGGTATTGGTGCTAATTAGGCAACCTTTTTCTGTTTTGCATGTCCAGTCATCCCCGATTTCCGCTATCGTAAATACTATGCAAGGCTTCTTTTTCAGTATCTAAGCAATTAGAATCAAATCTCAAACCTTAGTTGGAGAGCCTCTCAGTACAATTAGACTTTTAGAGAGTGATGGTCGTCTTTTGATGGTAAGTGAAATTATTTTTATGTCCAATTACTCACTCATTATTTGAGGAACATGTAGGCTGGTGGTGGTGGGATTTTGAGTCCAACCAAATTACATGCTAGAGGCCATGAATCATAGTCTTAGGCCCATAATAAATAAAACTTAAATTTATCTTGGTTTCACGTATCTACCCATGACAAGTTCACACTTGAACCTCAGACAACACTCTTTTGCACCAGTAAGTGTACAGATAAAGTGCTACACGTACACAATAAAGTGCTATCAGATTATTTACATATACAGTGTCAGTTTTTCATTTGACAAAGGCAAAAAGAAAGGAGAAAAAAGGTAACCAATCAAGTGCTGCCACAACACCACCTGTAAAACATCTGGCAAGATTTCCTATGTACATATTTCTTTTTCCATTTTTGAATCTGCAAAGGATTTTGCTTGGTGTATAGGGCCACATAGGCCCTGTAATTCACAGGGTGCTAACTGTCTATGGATTGGACACTTGCTACCATGGCAACTACCTTCTGCCCAAATAAGTTGCCAAACCTTATGTGCAACATAAAGAACTTTTGAATCTTGCTACATGTACATTAAAATTTACATAATAGATTACATAATGTCACATGACACTGTACCATTTGTTTGTTTAAAATACAATTAACTTTTTCATCCAATCTTTTTCCCCCAACATCATATTATGTAATCCATTATACATATTTTTTATGTACGAGTAGCAAAATCCGAACTTTTATGCTAGTTTTGAGTCGATGATACTTTGTATCGAGCTTGATTCTGATTTATTCTTCGTCCATAGGCATTTTGATGAAATGAAGTTATCCCGAGTGTTAAATGCTTATTAAGTTATCCAAAGAGTAAAGATGACTTCTATTTAGCCCCTGTTTGATGGCTATTATTTAGAAAAAAAAATGATGTTTTGAATGGTAATTTTTTGGAGAATATATGATTAAAAAGTAATGAAAAATTTTGGGTTTAAGTGTAAAATATGTTATTGTATAAATATGTAGTTGAAAATGAGTGAGAGAATTAAGGAATTTTATTTTAAAGGGAGCCAAATAAGGGCTTAGAGTCTGGCCAAAGCTGCAATAACATGCTACAGGAACAAGGTGAAAAACAGATTCATAAACAGGTGCGCCACGTGTCGGCGCACGATTGATCAGTTTGAAAAATAAAAAAAAACAATATTAATCAACACTTGTCACATCACCCTGTTTTTTTCCCATTCTGTTTTTAACCCTGGACAAGGAGAATAATTCAAGCTGGAAAAACTGATTAAATCTTATTCTCGTACAGCCTCGAACAAAAGAGTACCAACTTGCAATATCTGGTCGGACCAGTTGCAAGGCCTTCAAGCATGTCGTATTAAATGCTGTTATAATTGCATAACTACTCACAATTGCCAATTATCGCTAAGAAATGATATCTCCATTTATGACTTACCAACTGTGTCAAGTTATTTTTTTAAAAATAGAAAATAAAAATTAAAACGGTGCCTGATTACAGCGACTCCCCTAACCCTGTTTTCTTTCCTTCATCGATCCCAACATGCTCTTATAAGTGAACTGGACGTGTTAAATAAGAGAAAGAAGTTAAAAGTTTCGTTCCACCTTATTAAATACTGCAATATTGAACATATTATGCAGCTTCGACAGATGGACTCACTGCCATTACTAGCAGTAGCATTTAGCTCACTACCTCTTCCACATTAATGGAGGTCTCTCCTTTGAAATTCAGACTGAAATACGTGTTGAGTTTTTAACTCGTCAAACATTAAGGTATTGAAATTTAGCCCATATTTGGTGTAGATTAAACTCTACTAAAGTCTGAAACTTTGAAGTCAAAGTGAACAATTAATTTTAACTATAAATTTCATGGGACATATAACTTTTCAACCATATATTTCATCAACTTTTATCAGAATTTACTTAAAAATCTAATTTTAATATACACGAAACAAGGGCTTATTCTCTTTAGTAATTATATTTTATTTCATTATACAACAAATATTGAAGTCTTAATAATGGATTGGCCACCTTGAACTTTCTCCGCGGTCGCTTTATCCTTCCTAAATAGTGTGTGGATATGTGTTCAAAACAATAACTAATAAATAAATTCGACTTTTCCGTATAAGTTGGAACTTTAAATGAAATGGTTAACATGACACTAAGACGGTAAAATGCTTGTAATTCTATTAACTCATTTATAAATACTGTGCATGTTAGGATTGATACCACTTGTTGTGACGTCATTCACCAAATTGAGATGTTGAAGTTATATGATAAATAATAATGAAGTATATAATTAAACAAAAGAATAAAAAACAAGAATATGACAGAAGAATTAAGATATTCTATTACACCAAGAATAATGGAGAAGAGAGAAAATTACAATAGATCCTATAATTTTAGTAATCTATTTTCTCACATGTAACTATTACCAAAAATTGTATACAAGAATCTAGTATTTATAGGGAACATGTAGAGGACGTCCAAACCCTTTTGGTAGAGTTGTTGATGAAGCAGGATGCAAAAAAATCGAGTCCAAAACGAAGTAGGAGAGAAAAAATCTCGATCAGGTACTGTAGCAGCTCCTAGGCGCTACTGTAGCAGGGCTCAGACGATAGGTTTTGGGTTAATATTCCAACACATGCTTCCAAAGTATTTTTCTCCATTCCGAACTCTTCTTCAAGTCGAATATCAATTTCCAACTCACAATGAGTTTCCAAAATAGAACTTCAACTTGATATAGAATTCCAAACTTGAATTCTTCTTGATGTTCACTACAATTAGAATTCTTCAATACTTCAAACAAGGAATTCAGCTCATACCCAAATTCTAACAGTGCATATATTAGAGCTTTAATCACAAAATGAATCTGCACATGATAAGGTAGACACAAGGAGACTCAGATAGAGACGGGATCCAAAAGTTAGGTACCAAATTCCCATCTTTATCAATGCCTCGAGGCAGATCAAGATTCATGGAAACACTAATCTTTTCTAAGAAGAGTAAAGCGAGGGATATGATATATGAATAAGTAATGCTATTCGTAGTGAAGATTATTGGTAGTTTTCCTATATGGCATATATGTGACGGTTTGTAATTNAAATCTATAAATTTTCCCGCAACAAATTTCTTAGTTCCAGCATCTTCGGTGGCATATTTCTTTTCTAATGATTTCCATAATTCTTTAGCAGATTTACACAACTAGTAAACATCATATAAATCCAATGTCAAGAATTCAGAATAAAGTTTCTGCACATATAATCCTTATGTTCCCAATTAGCTAAATCTGATATTTCCTTATCAGTAGGCTCATCAACAATTTCAGAAACGGGTTTATCAGATTCAATGGCTTTAACAACTTTAAGAGTTGTCAAATAAAATCGTAACTTCATTTGCCATATCTTAAAATTGTTTCCATCAAATAATTCAGGCTTTTCAGAATACTTAGGAACGGAAATATCTACTGCAGACATGGCAACTAATTAAAAACGTAATATTTTCACTTTAGATTGTTAGAAATTTTACTAGAAATAAAAATTTATCAACTGATCGAGTCTCGTGATAGCACGTTGTCCTAAAGCGAAATTGCCCGTCGATAACTGCTGCGACCTCTGTGGACAATCGCCTCCAGGATACAACAATCAAATAAACCAATTGTGCAGCAATTATAAATGGTTTTCAGAACTCTCAAGTGTACTCCAGAAAATATGTAAAATAGAGTATAATATTTTTTATGAATATGAAGATACAATTTCGTTTTTTGTTGTATATTTCTAATGCCCAGATGTTTGTTTATATAAGCAGAAAAATCAAATAACGGCCTCCACCATAATCTAGTATTTATTTGTAATTTTTTGGCCCCAAGGCAGACTTTTAATATAATACGTGAGGTGTGACTCGAACCCCTGACCTCTCACACAAATTTCACACTTTTCACCAATTGGGTACTTAATCTGAATTAATTATTTCTTTCACATATTATATTTATAGTATAAATATCTAACAACGTGGACTTGGCAATGAAGCTTCACTACCTTGAAGGAATCCACTACTTTGGCAAGCAGGCATTTGAGGCCTTACCACACTCAACATAAAGGAGCCACTGTTCATATTGCTAGACCAGTTCCCAGATATCTGTGGACGGTTTCGTCGAACCGAGTCAGGCTGACCTTACATCAAATGAAATGACTGTGGTGTGAGATTCACTGAAGCAAAGTGTGAGAAAACAATGGATGAATGGTTGGATTTGACCAAGGAGAATGCCTCCCTTGAGAAGTATCTGACTTCAAATCAGATCATTGTTCCTTAATTAGCATTTTCTCCCACTTTTCTCTTACAAATACGAGTCAACGAGATTTTAACTTCATTTTCTTGTTAAAATCATGTTTTGCACATTGAATTGGACAAAATGAATGTAGCTAACCTGACCTGCGCATACTAAACATACTATTATGTACCTAGGGGTGGGCATCCAATTGAGTTCGACACCTGCTGTCGATAGATAGCTCATCCCTTGAAATTGGTCCATTTTGATAAAAACTGGACACCTAAGTATCGATAACCAAACAGTCTCATGTACAACAATTGAATCGAATCGCACCAAACTTGACTGGTTCAAGTTCGGTCCAGTTGGGTCTTGTCGTACTTCAAAAAAAAATTGTACATTATAAGATGTCATGTAATTTTTTTGGTTTCACTTTCGTGCTTTATTTGGAGTGAGAAATGTGTGGACCTTGGAAAAGGACACAATCCAAACTCTCTTTAATATTTCTACTCAAAACCCCCCAAATTACTCAAACATTAAAAGAAAAAGAGCTAGATGTTTAGTCACTGCCCCTATTTCTCAAAATTTATTTTTTCTCAAACTTATTTTCAACCACGTTTTAGAGTAATCACAAAATTTATCAATTTTTCAACAAAATATTTCATCAACTTTTATCAAAATCTACTAAAAATCTATTTTTTATCCAAATCAAACAAGGTCTTAATGATTTGTCGAGCAATCATAAACTTCTCGTAAATCGCCACAGTTTGCAGAATTTTCAATTGTCTTCATTAGTTTTTTTTATAAATGTTCAAATTTGAATACACAATATATAAAAGATAAAACATCAGTGTATTTTCTTATTTCTTGTACAAATTTCTAAGTTTTGTACTAGGTGAAATTTGATCAATTCGAGTTTCGACATAGAGCTGACCAAGAAACGACTTGACCTTATTAGTTGGCAACCTTATTTTCAGATTATTTCTTTCTTGTCTTTTCTGTTGATGGGGAAAAAAAAAGGTAATTTGTACATCATTAATTTTTAAATTGTGCTTTATATACTGTTCACTAAATTCAAAGGGAAAAAATAAAAAATAAGGTGTATACTTTACACCAATTCAAAAATCAGGTTTATAGTTTAAAAATTCAAAAATCAGGTTTTTTATTTATTTATGAAATAATAAATTATTAAATCAATTTATTATTAAATATTTAATTCTAATATAATATAATATAATTAACCCACCCCACATAAACCACCCATACCGCTCCGGGAACTATTCCGGCCACTATTCCGACCACCACTCTTCTCAAGCGACCGTTCAGACGACTGTTCCGATTCTGACAATTATTCCGGCGACCATTCCCGTCACAGATTTACAACTTACGGTAACATTTCAAAAATTTTGTAGGTCATAATTAATTCGTTGATCACAGATTTCAAAATTAATTGGTCACAGATCAAAATTTATAAGTCACACAGTCACAGATTTTCAAATTAGTTGGTCACAGATTTTTTCGCACTCACATATTATATAATTTTTAGGTCACATATAATAAAATGGTTGGTCAAAGATTTTTTTGGGCACAGATTAACGAATTTTAAGGTCACGAATTAATACTTGGTCGAAGATAAACAAATAATTGGTCACATACACCAAATATTGGGTCACATACTACCGCACCGCCACTTGCGACCACCCTCACTCTGCGACCATCGCCAACACTGCAACACTACCACCACAGTCGACCTCCACTGCCACTGTCACCATCGACCGCCACTACCCCATCCCAAGCAGATTCACTACCATCACCGGCCTCTACTACCACACCCCAAGCAGAGTCACTACCATCACCGGCTTCTCACCACCGCAGCACCTAATCACCACTACCGACGACATGAAAACCACCACAAGCAAATTTGACCAACAACGAACCGTGGTACAGATCACCGAATCGGCGACAATTTCAGATCGTCGAACCCACCACAAACCGAACCCAACCCCACCATATCCGAGCTCACCATTTCAGATCCTCTTCATTACATCGGTGTCGACTACACACAAACCCACCATTTCAGATCCGAGCCAACCATTTCAGATCCTCTTCATTACAGGGGAAAGAAATGAGAGAAGAAGAGAGAATGGGAGATGCAGAAAGAGAAAATGAATTGAAATTATTAGGGTTTGTAATTAAATTGGGTGGATCAACTCCAATCCGCCACAAACCCACCGTCGAACCACACACCCACCCGCTGCTTCACTGTAATTTCCTCTTCCTCCCACCACAACGAGAAATGTCTCAGAAAACTGGCGGTTGCCACCTCCACCAGCAACATCTTGACCGCGAAGCTCCTGCCGGTGTCACAACGTTTCTGAGATTCACAACAGCGTTGCGACGCCGACAACAAAGTCGAGCCGCTGTGGAGGGGAAGGAGGGTGGAGCCGGGAGGGAGGGGGAAGAGAGAAGATGGTTTGGGAAGGAGAAGATAGAGAGAAGGGAGAGGGTAGAGAGAGAGAGAGGATATGGAAAAATGAATAGGGAATGGGACGACTTAATTGTAATATTAATATTAAAATATATAATTATTACCTGATTTATGATTAATTAAAGTTTGCACTTGATTTATGAACAGTAATCTTGAAACACCGGCTCCTGTGTAATTTTCCCAAATTCAAATGTGGAGCAATGTCTATGGGCCTAAGCTGGGCCCATGTTCTTGGAGATGTATTCTTAGCAGCAGAATTCTTGAACCTGTTGGGACAGGTAGTGGCAGGTAATAAGCCCAACAGGCCCATTAAACTGGGTCAGATGAAAACAAAGTCCACCAATTCTGAAAGCTCACTAAGAGCTTGTTTGGGATGGATTAAAATCCAATTAAAATTGAAAATATAGTCGTTATTGGGTCGCACTCGTCTAATAAAAGTCAACTCTAACGGTTATATTTTTAATTTTAATCTGATTTTAATCCCTCCCAAACAAGCTCTAAAGGTTATGGAAGATCCACTTTCCATCAAACTGGTCGGCCCGGTTGGAGACAATTGGATAACCGCCAATTATTGTAAAACGGAGGCATTTGCATTCAATGTTAATGCCGCACAATTGAGCCATTTGCAGTAAAAAATGCTTAGCGATGGAACTAATTTTTCTCCATTTGAGGCTCTGTCTGCTGTAATTTGGCAATGCATAGCAAAAATTCGAGGCAAATCGGAACCAAAAGTCGTGACAATATCAATGCAAAAAGAGTGAACAAAAAAAGGCAGATGGGAATAATCAACTTATAAGTGCTGTTAATTTTTGAAGATTGAAACTTGGTCCCTGATTTTTGCATTTGAAACTTTAAACACCTGAAATTCTTGAATTTCTCAATTCTTGAACTTGTTGGGACAGGTAGTGGCAGGTAATAAGCCCAACAGGCCCATTAAACTGGGTCAGATGAAAACAAAGTCCACCAATTCTGAAAGCTCACTAAAGGTTATGGAAGATCCACTTTCCATCAAACGGGTCGGCCCGGTTGGAGACAATTGGATAACCGCCAATAATTGTAAAATGGAGGCATTTGCATTCAATGTTAATGCCGCACAATTGAGCCATTTGCAGTCAAAAATGCTTAGCGATGGAACTAATTTTTCTCCATTTGAGGCTCTGTCTGCTGTAATTTGGCAATGCATAGCAAAAATTCGAGGCAAATCGGAACCAAAAGTTGTGACAATATCAATGCAAAAAGAGTGAACAAAAAAAAGGCAGAGAGAATAATCAACTTATAAGTGCTGTTAAAGCTGATTATCCCATTGTGGAAGCCAAACCTAGTGAGCTAGCAGCACTGATAAAAAATGAAGCATTCGATGAAGGCGAAAAGATCGAAAATGCAATCAAGAAAGACAACGGAGTCTTTGATTTCATATTTTATGGTGCAAATCTAACTTTCGTGAATCTTGAAGAAGCGAAGTTTTACGAATTTGATTACCGGGGAGAACAGCCTGTTCACGTTAGTTATCGAGTCAATGGTGTTGGTGAAGAAGGGGTTGTTTTGGTGCTCCCAGGGCCGCCGAAGAATGGAGGGAGGACTGTTATGGCAATTTTGCCTAATAAGGAGGTGATTGAGCTTAAATCAGAACTGAAAAGAGAGTGGTTTATGGATTGAACAAAATTTCTTGCCAAGTATTTCTAATTAATCTATTAGCTTTTGACTGTAGGGATGATCCAATCCTTTTTTCTTTTTTTCTTTTTTTTCTCTTGGAATTTCCTTAAATCAAAGCTGAAAAGCAGAGCAAAAATTGAATCGTGAAATGCCAAAAGAAAACAAACACACTATTCACAACAACTGATGTTATATAAATCATATCTGACCCACAGTTTTGGTCACAACCTACGTTACCTTTATTTGACCCAAAATCCTTAAATAGATTGGATTTGATTCCTTTGATAATTAAAAGCCTCACAACATTATTCTGTATATACAGCATTACCTTCGGTCTGTCATCCGACTTGGATACGAATTCACAAGAGATGAAAAGAATCTAAACTTGGAATCTGGTGTTTTCTGGTTTTGGTTCTATTCAGATCACCATAGCCAACTTTTTCTCTGTATTGAACGGGTCAGTCGATGATCATGGAGTCTTATACCGTATGCTCATGAGTATATATTTGTCGGGTTTTTCTATTCTTACGGACAAAGTGAGAGTCAATCTCCATATATCATGTGAAGAAAGATACACAAGATTGACACAACATTTAATTCTCTAATGTTAAACTATACCACATTTAATTTAGTTAATATTTAACCTTGTTTAGGAAATATCAACTGTACGTTGTTGCCTTATCAATGTCTCCCAAATAAATATATAAAGTTTTGTAACTAATTAAGTTCAATCGACTTAGTAACTTTTAAGATTAGAGTCTTGACAATTGGAAGATGGAGCCTTGACATTCAAATTTGTTGGTCCCAAAACCACTTTGTGCAACCCCGTTTAAACAAAAATGTTTTTGTTGAAGTTTGAGGCTTCAATCAACCAAAACCGAGCTCAGATTAAACCAAATCAAACACCACAATAACAACCAAGAACCTCCAAAACCGACACCACCCATTCACCGGTTGCTTCAACAATAATCAGCCCACAAAGGACTCGGTGTGAAGAGTAAGGCAGCCCTCAAGAAACAGCCACTAAGGCTAGAGAGGAAGGAGAAGACAAGGCAAGCACATAGCAAGACCCAAGGACACAAAGTCACGGCCCTCTCTCTCTCTCTCTCTCTCAAAACACACGGCTCCAACCTTTCTTCCACACACTCTCACAAGAATAACGGGTAGCATATATATCACAAGAGTGGGCTTTTAGGTTAACACAATTAGAGGCCCAATAGGTAGAATCTAAATGGG